GATTGCTGATTTAAAAATTAAAAAACGAGGGTATGCATATGTGTACTTGTGACTTTTGATATTATTGACATTTGAATATTACGTAAAAGTATTATAGACTTTGCAATGATGTAAGACTAATCGATTTACGACTGCTGGCCTGATGAAAGCTATGAACAAAATTTTGATAATTAATATTTTAATAATTGCTCGTATTATCATAAAAATGTAAGGTTTATAATTGTTTCGATAGTCGTGAATATTTAATATAATAAGAATTATTTAATATTTAGTATTTATTTAATAATTAATTTAGCTTATACAAAATATCGTATATATTTTTTTTCTATAATTTTTCTTTCTTTCTTCTTGTATTTCTTTATCTCTTCCTGTATCTCTTAAGACAAAATTACATAAATGAGATAAAATAATATGAGATCACTTGATGCTTTTGAATTTATACTTACAACTCGATATTTTGTAATACGTATAATATGATAAAATTTTGTTAATGCAATCAATTCTATTATTTCATGTACGTTAATAGAATTTTTCTGTTATATTTTTTTATTTGATTTTAGTTTTCTAATATATATATTTTTTAATTGTTCTCATGATTTCATAATACCGAATGGAGATGAGTGCATTTTATGCGTGATGACGATTTTTTACTTCACGTGGGAAAAAAAAATGACGGACTTTTATTGCGCAAAAAAGAGAAACATTAATGTCTCTTCTTCGGGCTTATAAACTCGACGTCGTCGAATACAGGATGCTTAGGCACAATGATACTCAACGGGTCATCGTAAACATTACGTGAGCTTCGCCGACTTGCATTGCGCGTAGCTCTGCACCGACTACTATAGGGTCCAATAAAAGTTTAGTGTCAGTGGCGCAAGTACTTAGCGTAAATAACTGCTGTTTGCTAACTGTTGAGCGAATAATAATCATGTATAGAAGTCTTGTTCGCGCATCTCACGTATCTTTAAAGCTAACAGTCGATTGCGGTGTTTTCGAAAATTCGAAATTACTGACTGTGAGATATAAGATTTAAATATTAAGATTGTTAAATATGGTCTATAATGTATACATATAGTATTTGTGAAATAAATTGACTCTCTCTCCAAACGTATTAGATGTATTAGATAAACTTCTTAGAAAATAACCTTGATGTACTTCATAATAAGTGTTTGTGAAATCGACTTCAGAAACTTCAAAGTATATGAATGAGCATAACAAAAGAGAGAAAAGAAAAAAGAAAAGAGAAAAGAGTGGTATTATTTTAAGCATGTATATATAATTATATATCATTAAAAATGTCGTATATTAATTATTTCTTTTTGCTGTTGCTATTTTTTATTTATAAATAATTAATAATATGTGATATATTACATAAAGTTGAATTAAAATAATTTAATAATATTCATAAACAAAATTTGTTTAACAAGTTTAACAAATTTAAATAAAAATCAAGCTCGTCGTCATTTAAAAAAATAATAAAATTGATATTATAAAAGGCCTAAAACAAACGGTATTCATAAAATATTATATAATATTTTATGAATACCCCTCGTTTTAGGCCTTTTATAATATCAATTTCATTAAAAATTCGTTTATATAGTTATAGTTGAACCAATTAAGCATTTAGTAATTATTATTAAATATGATAATAGGTTATTAAATATGGCTATTATTAAATATAGTAATAATTATCAAATATCCAATTAAAATCTACACCTTAATGCATTTAGTAATTACCAACCAGTTTTTTATATGACATACATATATGTCAACAGCTAAAAGTCAATGATATAAATTTTTCGATATTTCGAAGACAGTTATGTATCTCATTAAAAGTATCGTTTGTACATTAATTATTTTCTAATTTATAAACATATATGGCAATAATTAAAAGTCAACGACAAATTTTTTGATGTTTTGAAAGCATAGTTCGCGTGGAACGTTATGTCATATGCATTCTCAATTATGTAGGAATAAAATTATTTTTGGTGACGAAGTTTATATATATGTCTCTAAACTTTGTTGCATCTTCTTTTCTTTCGATATATTTTGTAATTTGCGACATTAATTTAAAAAACAGAAATAAATTTTCTGTGCCGCCAGATTTATTACCAGGATTTGTTTCAGAAAACAAGTTTGGTACTGAATACCATAAACATTGTCGTCTTTTGCTAAGTATTTAAGATTTTTGTTAAGCAAAATGTTATTACCATATTAAAAATTTCAATCATATCAGACGATTATATAAGAAATTACAAAGACCAATGAATTTTTAATGTAAATGATACATAAATTCGATATAAATTAAAAGGATTCTCTATTTGACGTTTCTTCGATTGCGAATTAATTCGCTAATTTCAAAATTGCAGATATTGCAAAAAAATTCTATCTGTGGATTTTCCCAAATTAAAAAAGTGCGACACTTGTTAACATTAATTAAATATTCGTATCAAAAGATGTCTTGATAGTCTTATTTTGATAGCAATTGAACGCGCAGAAATGCAATTCTATCTTTCGTTCTAAGGAATCGTATTTATTCATTTTAGTGTATAATCACACAAAGGTCAAAATCATGTTTCACATGACCTTAAATCGCCGCTGCCGGCTATTGTCACGTTTAAATAAAAGAATCTTTTTGATTAATACTTGTATATCGCGATGTTTTTATGTTCTTATCGATCTGACCGCCAACGATAGATAACTGGCATCGTAATTACCCATGAATGAAGTTCGCTTCTAGGTGAGATTAACCTTTCACTTAGTATTTGATTTTCCATTGAATGAAAGAGCTCGATATAATCGTAGAAAAGGTCATGATAACTGCTCGCGCGAGCTTCGTCGTTTTTGTCGGTGGAATTGTCAAAGGATACTAGACATTAGACAAGGATACTGGAGAAGAAATTCAATTAAGTATAATAAATAAGTCTATTACAATCCGTACTATTTATTTATTTAAAAAGAAAACATTATAGTGTTCGTGTTCTGTAAATAAAGATCTCTCTTTTCTTACGGAAATTTGTTATATTTCTTGAGTTTTAAACGACATGGGATTTTCTTGGACAGTCGGAATAAGCCTTCTTGCGATCATCAGATATAATAAATGTAAAGAGGATGTGTCCCTTGTAACGATAAAATTCAATTCTTCACAAAAGCTTCATTATTATTGGTTAATTTAGCGCTGCGTTTCTAATTTATCGATTCCATTAAGCCAAATTATGGTAAAACTATGATTATTTTATCGACTAACATGCGAATAAAATTTCTTTGCCTTAGTACAAAACATTGCGTATGTAAAAATAATTTTTAAATATAATTTTAATATATTGTATACACACATATATATATATATATATATATATATATATATATATTATAATGAAAACTAAAATACTGTAATTAAGATTTATCAATAATAATATGCGTCTAAGAAATATTATGTACATTTGCATAAAAATTATTTTAAATATTCTTGAATTCATTAAAATTCGGAAATTCCAAAGGAGAGACACAGTCAGTTCATTACCATAATGCATTTTTTGGCACATCAAAAAATATGAAGCATATAACTATTTATAGACATGTAATTAATTAATTAAGTTTTTTAACAAGATGACATCAAATCCTTGTATGTTATTTTTATTGTTTATTTGAAATACTTTCGAAATTTTATTTTTTTAGTTCTAATTATTTATGTAGAACATCTTAATTATATAATCATTATAATATTAAATAATTAACGTTTAATATATGCATATTTACATAAAGGGAACTAATATTTATATCCTAAAATAACCATTAATGGCATTTATATTCGTCATTATTATATTTGCTGTTGCTTATTCATAACAAAATAATAAGTAGTACTATATTATAAAGTTAAGTTTATTTTTAAATTTTCGTAATTTTATCGAAGTAGTATATATTATTCGGTGCTTCGTTAAATATATTAACTGCATTGCATCTTACAAGATGTATACGATATATTGCATCGCTATTATCGTGATGCATTCGCTACTTGTTAGCAAATTGAATGCAAATTGAATCATTTGAAATGCGTATAAGAAAATAGAATTTTATTGTTATTGAATGTTAGATACACTTAACTTATCATTCAAAAATTGCGTTAAAAATTAATATTGCATTAGAAATATATATATCTACTTATTAGTCATATCTATTTATTATTTTTGAATTTCTTTATTCAAGCTTGAATACTTTTATTTATATTGTCCATATAACTATCAAAGGATACATCTTATGTTAAGAAGAAGATAAGCATACAAATAGTATTTTTACAAAAGTTTTTATTTTTTCCCATGTTTGGACTCAGCATTACCATCGGTCATCAAATAATATTGCTATTATTAATATTAATATTATTAAGATTTAAGAGAGAAAAGCTTATGCATTTCGCTGATCGACAATAAACTCGTGTAATTGTTCGCGTTATAAGTTCTCATCATTTGCGGGTTTTGAAAGCAGGTAGATAAATTCTATAAAGTTTGGGGATTTCTTCGAAGGCAGGTAGATAATCTCTGCGAGATAAATATTCGTAATCCACGGATTCCCAACTAGATTCTTCGAGGAGCCATTTCAAATTTTGATTATTGTCAGCGGGCTAAATTAATACAAGTTAATTTAACAGTACAAAAAAGAAGAGAGTCGATTCTTTTTTGTTTACTCTCTGCCTCACTTTATTGAGACGATAGAGAGATCGAAGAACTTTAGCTTGCGAGACGGGCTTGATTTAACAGTACTTATAAAAAATATATTATGCACTACCACGAGGAATTCTGATTAATATGTCTAATAATTTTAGTTTTATAAGGATTGATTTTGAGTTGATCTTGATCGGCTGTTAGGCGATTCGGAAGCTTGCGGGTCAAATGTTTAACATCCGGCTCGTAACCTATATAAGGTCTGGTCGGCGTGGGTGGCGGTAAGGTCGGCCGTGAATACGAAGTACCAGTATAGTTATATGGTGAGTATGTTGTGCTTACTGTTGGATATACACTATAAATGACTGGTGGATACGTAATTGGCTTCCGTGTCGTAGGTTTGTAGGTGCTGGAAGGTTGCGGTGGTGGAAAATATGTATACTTGTGCGAAGACAGATAGGTCGGCGGTGTAGTTCTCAATTTTTGGGTAGTTGTAGATACTGTATTTCTAATTACAGTAGTCGTGGATGGTGTTGTGGTAGTTGTAGTAATTGTGGATGGTGTAGTTCTGATTCTAGTGGTTGTACTAGGCGTCGTGGTTCTTACCTTCGCCGGTAAATAAGCATCTCCTGGTGTAGACACCTTAATAAACCTGGTAGTAAAAAGTTTTGTTATACATACAACAATTCAAATGATAATCTTTTGGAATCATGATACTTAAGAAGCTTGATAATTAGTAATAACATTTGATGAAAATATAGATGGGCTGCATAAACAAAATGCATTTTGAAGCGATGAATTATCTTCTGATAATAAATAGTCGATTGTATTATGATTATGAATGATTGAATGTTCGATCGCATCGTCATTATAGATGATAGAATGATCGATTGGATTGTAACGATAGTTGATCTAAACGCGAACAGATGATTTTTATTAGACTACAGAGACTATACAATTTAACAGTTAAAGTTAGGATATGTGCGTAAAATATTAGTGTAAAAGAGAAATAAGATATGATACTGATGTTATAATTATTAATATAATATTTGAAAATATAAAATATATTTATACGTTGCTATTTTATTCGATGGCGTTGGGTAAACATATTTTCCACTCTTAGTATAAACATAGTCATTCGTTTTTGGAGTTGTATAATAATATCTCTCCGGAGGTTTAATCGCTGTGGAGTTTAGATCGTTTCTCTTAATTTCTCTGTAATAATAATAGCTTACGAATATTGAATGCTTTAAAAAAAGTAGTTATTATATAAATCGATCATGATTGCGAATAAGTATACTATTAAAAATTAATTTTATTAAATTAATAATTTTATACAGAATAATTATATAGAAATGTTAAAAGTTTTAAGATGCTCGAACACACTTACTTAAAAAACGGTGCCTCTAAGAATTCAGCCTGTATTTTTTTATTCTTTATCGGACTTATGTTTTTCTTAGGATTTGCATCTGTATGATACGTGGAGAGCACGGTTACCAGAATGGCCACCCACAGCAACTTCCACTGTAACATAATTTTTATTATAATCGATCAAATAATTAGCTTATTGTGCTTTACATTATACATTTTTTATCACACTATTATATTATTTATTACATTAATTTTATTACATACATTATATTACATAATTTGTATTCATTATTTACCTTATTTATTCAGTATTACAATATTAAATAGATACTGTTAGTAAATATATTTATTCTATAATCAAATTTTCTGGTTAATGACGTATAATAATAAAAAATTGTAATTAATACCTTATAGCTCGTCAAGTTGGCCTTCTAATTTATCACATATTTTAATTGCATACGAGCCGAATTTTATTTTGCATTATATAATTTTGTTTTAATTTATTAATAAAAAATTATGCAAAATATGTTTTTTGTTAAATAAAAATCAAGAATATCAGTTTATCATTATTTTACATATATTTTTTTAACAAACTTGTGAAATATATTTTTATATGATTGATATCCTTTTTTTTCACAATTATTGATAATTCTGAATTTTTATTACTTTTCTAAATATAGTATCACTTTTCTTTTTAGTTTTTGCCAATTGTAGCGATTATATTTCACACAAGGACATAAATATCTAAAAATTTTAACACTGACATGAAAGATAGTCAAACGTTGAACGTATAAGTTTGTACAAGTTTCATCTCTTGATTCTCATACATAAGTGATTCTTTACAAGATCACTCTTATTATATTTCACTTTTCAAGCATTTTCTCCGACAGTAAAAAGAGTCCCAAATTCATTAACCATCCCCGATGCACTGTAGTTATACTTACCATGACTTTCTTATCGTGACGATCACAGAAAAAAAAGATCAAAATGTGAACACTTTAAAATGAGAATACATCCCACATTCAGAAGCGTATTCCAAGAGGTCACTTCTTCATCTTCTTCACAAATGATCAAGAATATTTATATATAGGATTCATTTAATTAGTTAGTGGGGAGAATATTCGAAGCATTCGACCGAAGACGATTATTATCAAGGATAATGCAAGAAGATGCTATAATTCTTTTTTTTCAACATTTACATAAATTAAAATTGCGAGAAAAAGAAATATACAGAAAGAGAGAGTGAGCAATTCGAAGAGAAAGATACCCGCAATATTCAAATATCTGATCGAAGCAATTGAAGATGGATGTTTAATGCAGTCGAAGGACATTCCCAACACATTAACGTTATATAAGCGAATTTCAGGAATCTTCGAACCTTAATGTTCATAAATTATGTGAATGTCCATCTAGTCAAACGTTATAATACTTACCGTTTATTATTGAGGCTTATTCAATAGAGTTTTAAAAAATGCGTTTAAAATTTATATTGCATTAGAAATATATATATATATATATATATATATATATATATATATATATCTACTTATTACTCATATCTATTTATTATTTTTGAATTTCTTTATTCAAGCTTAAATATTTTTGGTCAATCAAGCGCTTGTTACCTTGTGTTTTAAATTTTAACTGGAAATTGCTTCATTCAATTTGTTAAATATTTTTATTTATATTGTCCATATCACTATCAAAGGATACATCTTATGTTAAGGAGAAGATAAGCATACAAATAGTATTTTTACAAAAGTTTTTATTTTTTTCTATGTTTGGACTCAGCACTACCATCGGTCATCAAATAATATTGCTATTATTAATATTAATATTATTAAGATTTAAGAGAGAAAGGCTTATGCATTTCGCTGATCGACAATAAACTCGTGTAATTGTTCGCGTTATCAGTTCTCATCATTTGCGGGTTTTGAAAGCAGGTAGATAAATTCTATAAAGTTTGGGGATTTCTTCGAAGGCAGGTAGATAATCTCTGCGAGATAAATATTCGTAATCCACGGATTCCCAACTAGATTCTTCGAGGAGCCATTTCAAATTTTGATTATTGTCAGCGGGCTAAATTAATACAAGTTAATTTAACAGTACAAAAAAGGAGAGAGTCAATTCTTTTTTGTTTACTCTCGGCCTCATTTTATTGAGACGATAGAGAGATCGAAGAACTTTAGCTTGCGAGACGGGCTTGATTTAGCAGTACTTATAAAAAATATATTATGCACTACCACGAAGAATTCTAATTAATATGTCTAATAATTTTAGTTTTATAAGGATTGATTTTGAGTTGATCTTGATCGGCTGTTAGGCGATTCGGAAGCTTGCGGGTCAAATGTTGAACATCCGGCTCGTAACCTATATAAGGTCTGGTCGGCGTGGGTGACGGTAAGGTCGTTCTTACTGTTGGATATACACTATAAATGACTGGTGGATATGTAATTGGCTGCCGCGTCGTAGGTTTGTAGGTGCTGGAAGATTGCGGTGGTGGAAGATATGTATACTTGTGCGGAGGCAGATAGGTCGGCGGTGTAGTTTTCAATCTTTGGGTAGTTGTGGATGATGTAGTTCTACTTGCAGTAATCGTGGATGGTGTTGTGGTAGTTGTAGTAATTGTGGATGGTGTACTTCTGATTCTAATGGTTGTACTAGGTGTCGTGATTTTTAACTTCGGCGGTAAATAAGCATCTCCTGGTGTAGACACCTTAATAAACCTAGTAGTAAAAAGTGTTGTTATACATACAACAATTCAAATGATAATCTTTTGGAATCATGATACTTATGAAGCTTGATAATTAGTAATAACATTTGATGAAAGTATAGATGCTGCATAAACAAAATGCATTTTGAAGCGATGAATCATCTTCTGATAATAAATAGTCGATTGTATTATAATTATGAATGATTGAATGTTCGATCGCATCGTCATTAGAGATGATAAAATGATCGATTGGATTGTAACAATAGTTGATCTAAACGCGAACAGATGATTTTTATTAGACTACAGACTATAAAATTTAACAGTTAAAGTTAGGATATGTGCGTAAAATATTAGTGAAAAAGAGAGATAAGATATGATACTGATGTGTATATGTTATAATTATTAATATAATATTTGGAAAAATAAAATATATTTATACGTTGCTATTTTATTCGATGGCGTTGGGTTCACATATCCTCCATCCTTAGTATAAACATAGCCATTTGTTTTTGGAGTTGTATAATAATATCCCTCCGCAGGTTTAATCGCTGTGGAGTTTAGATCGTCTCTCTTAATTTCTCTGTAATAATAATAGCTTACAAATGTTGAATGCTTTAAAAAAAGTAGTTATTATATAAATCGATCATGATTGCGAAGTATACTTTTAAAAATTAATTTTATTAAATTAATAGTTTTATACAGAATAATTATATAGAAATGTTAGAAGTTTTAAGATGCTCGAACACACTTACAAAGACTTAAAAAACGGTGCCTCTAAGTATTCAGCCTGTATTTTTTTATTCTTTATCGCACTTATGTTTTTCTTAGGATTTGCATCTGTATGATACGTGGAGAGCACGGCCACCAGAATGGCCACCCACAGCAACTTCCACTGCAACATAATTTTTATTATAATCGATCAAATAATTAGCTTTACATTATGCTTTACATTGTGCATTACATTATGCTTACATTGTGCTTTACATTTAAATACATAAATTTTTTATCACACTATTATATTATTTATTACATTAATTTTATTACATACATTATATTACATAATTTGTATTCATTATTTATCTTATTTATTCAATATTACAATATTAAATAGATACTATTAGTAAATATATTTATTCTATAATTAAATTTTCTGGTTAATTGTTATTATAAGAACATTTAAAAAAACATTTTAATCTTTTTTTTTACTATCACAATGGAGCCGTTAACATATATGAAAAAATAATAGAATTATGATAGATTGAAAATCATTTCTTTGTGATAATCTAACGTTTCATTTATGCGATGATCTTACATAACTCATCTCGGCTATGAAATATTATACAATATAGTGATGATAAATCGTGAAAATGTAATCTAATGTATCGCTTTTTGTTGATTAACGTTCAACAATGAAAACTTTGAACAAAATAATTATGTAATTGTTATTAAACAATTAGCTAATTTGAAAAGCTTTTTATATAAGTATATATATATATATATATATATATATATAGGTTTCACAATTATAGTTAACAAAATAATATAAATGCATTAATAAAATAATATAAAATGTTTTATACATATACTAAACAATATTAATTAATTGTGAAAATAAAACATTATCGGAATTTTAATTATATTTATCCTTAGCCTTGGAGCAATATGAATTTCAATCGTATTATACATACACACATTTATCGATGCAAAATAATTGCCTGATAATCTAACTAATTCTATTTCTCAATACTAATAATAATCGGTCTAGAATCGTAAATTTAAACATTCAAATTATATTTAATTGAGAAATTATACCGCAAATGCATCGTGAAAGTAGCTAACAATAAGTTAATAATTTATTGTTAAACTATTCATTAATTTTAATCTTTTTTTACATAGCTTTATATTTTTTACATAGTATTAATATAATTTGCATAAATCATTTATTAAACCGCAAACCGGTAAGACAAGTATTTGTAATTTACTTTATACGAAATTGAAGAGGAGATGCAGTTTTATTACGAGTTTTTTAAGACTTTAAATGTTATGCGAACTAAATAATTTGAACAAGTATTTAGAAGCAAAATTATGGCTGATATTTATTAAGTAGAAATGTAACTTCATTACTTGATCAGAGAAAAGGATTAAATCAATTAAATTTTTTATAATAATTATATTTATATTTAGAGTTTTGCGTTATTTTATTATAAGATTGAAAGTTTACGATTAAACATTAATAGAATATTTAGAAAATTAAATATTAAATTGAATTTCAGAAAGTAAAGAAACAATAAATCTTATTTTACCTTAAGAAAAAATCGTAATTTATAGTTTAATTAATATAAACAAATTTTGTTTTAATTTATTAATAAAAAATTATGCAAAATATGTTTTTTGTTAAATAAAAATCAAGAATATCACTTTATTATTATTTTACATATATTTTTTTAACAAACTTGTGCAATATATTTTTATATGATTAATATCCTTCGTTTTTACAATAATTGATAATTCTGAATTTTTATTATTTTCTGAATATATTATCACTTTTCTTTTTAGTTTTTACCAATAATTGTAACAATTATATTTCACACAAGGACATAAATATTTTTAAGAATTTTAACACACATCGACATGAAAGATAACCAAACGTTGAAGAGTATAAGTTTGTACAAGTTTCATCTCTTGATTTTTATACATAATAAGTGATTCTTTACAAGATCACTCTTCTTATATTTCACTTTTCAAGCACTTTCTCCGACAGTTAAAGGAGTCCCAAATTCATCAACCATCCCCGATTATCCGTGTCTATTTTCTTTCAGGTCACTTTAAGTCCACAATTAATGATGCACTGTTATACTTACCATGATTTTTTATCGTGATAATCACAGAAAAAAAAGATCAAAATGTGAACACTTTAAAATGAGAATACATCCCACATTCAGAAGCGTATCCCAAGAGGTCACTTCTTCGTCTTCTTCACAGACGATCAAGAATATTTATATATAGGATTCATTTAATTAGTTAGTGGGGAGAATATTCGAACTATTCGGCTAATGACGATTATTAAAGGATAATCACAAGAAGATTTTGTAATTCTTCTCGTTTCACATTTACATAAATTAAGATTGTGACAAAAAGAAATATACAGAAAGAGAGAGTAAGCATTTCAAGAGAAAGATACGCGAGATATTCAAATATCTGACCGAAGCAATTGAAGATGGATGTTTAATGGCAGCAGTCGAAGGACATTCCCAACACATTAACGTTATATAAGCGAATTTCAGAAATCTTCGAACCTTAATGTTCATAAATCATGTGAATGTCCATCTAGTCAAACGTTATAATACTTACCGTTTATTATTGAGGCTTATTCAATAGAGTTTTAGAAAATGCGTTTAAAATTTATATTGCATTAGAAATATATATATATATATATATATATATATATCTACTTATTACTCATATCTATTTATTATTTTTGAATTCCTTTATTCAAGCTTAAATATTTTTGGTCAATCAAGCCCTTATTACCTTGTGTTTTAAATTTTAACTGGCAATCGCTTTATTCAATTTGTTAAATATTTTTATTTATATTGTCCATATCAACTATCAAAGGATACATCTTATGTTAAAGAGAAGATAAGCATACAAATAGTATTTTTACAAAAATTTTTATTTTTTTCTATGTTTGGACTCAGCACTACCATCGGTCATCAAATAATATTGCTATTATTAATATTAATATTATTAAGATTTAAGAGAGAGAGAGAGGTTTATGCATTTCGCTGATCGACAATGAACTCGTGTAATTGTTCGCGTTATCAGTTCTCATCATTTGCGGGTTTCGAAGGCAAATAGATAATCTTTATGAGGTTTGGGGATTTCTTCGAAGGCAGGTAGATAATCCCTAGGAGGTAGATATTCGTAACCTATATAAGGTCTGGTCGGCGTGGGTGGCGGTAAGGTCGGTCGTGAATACGGAGTACCAGTATAGTTATATGGTCGGTATGTTGTTCTTATTGTTGGATATACACTATAAATGACTGGTGGATACGTAATTGGCTTCCGCGTCGTAGGTTTGTAGGTGGTGGAAGGTTGCGGTGGTGGAAGATATGTATACTTGTGCGGTGGCAGATAGGTCGGCGGTGTAGTTCTCAATCTTTGGGTAGTTGTGGATGGTGTAGTTCTGATTGTAGTGGTTGTGGATGGTGTAGTGGTAGTTGTGGTAGTAGTTGTGGATGGTGTAGTTGTGGTAGTAGTTGTAGATGGTGTAGTTCTGATTGTAGGCGTCGTGGTTCTTATCTTCGGCGTTAAATAAGCATCTCCTGGTGTAGACACTTTAACAACCCTGTCAGTAAAAAGTGTTGGTATACTTATAATTCAAGTGACAATCTTTTGGAATAATAATACTTAAGAAGCTTAATAATTAGTAATAACATTTGATGAAAATATAGGTAAGCTGCATAAACAAAATGTATTTTATTGAAGCGGTAAATCATCTTTTAATAATAAATAGTCGATTTTATTATGATTATAAATGATTGAATGTTCGATCGCGTCGTCATTATAGATGATAGAATGATCGACTGGATTGTGACGATAGTTGATTTGAACGCGATAATAGATGATTTTTATTAAACCACAGATAAAATTTTACAATTGAAGGTAGAAGATGTGCGTAAAGTATTAGTGAAAAAGAGAAATAAGATATGATGCTGATGTGCATGTTATAATTAATAATATAATATTTGGAATTATAAAATATATGCATACCTTGTTACTTCATTCGACGGCGTTGGGTAAACATATCCATCCCTTTTTCGAGTTGTAGTAGTTGTGGATGGTGTAGTTCTAATTGTAGTAGTTGTGGATGGTGTAGTTCTGATTCTAGTGGTTGTAGTAGGCGTCGTCGTTCTTACCTTCGGCGTTAAATAAGTATCTCCTGGTGTAGACACAACCCTGTCAGTAAAAAGTGTTGGTATACTCATAATTCAAGTGACAATCTTTTGGAATAATGATACTTAAGAAGTTTAATAACTAGTAATAACATTTGATGAAAATATAGGTAAGCTGCATAAACAAAATATATTTTATTGAAACGGTGAATCATCTTTTGATAATAAATAGTCGATTGTATTATGATTATAAATGATTGAATGTTCCATCGCGTCGTCATTATAGATAATAGAATGATCGACTGGATTGTGACGATAGTTGATCTGAACGCGATAATAGATGATTTTTATTAGATCACAGATAAAATTTTACAATTGAAGATAGAAGATGTGCGTAAAGTATTAGTGAAAAAGAGAAATAAATATGATGCTGATGTGCATGTTATAATTAATAATATAATATTTGGAATTATAAAATATATGCATACCTTGTTACTTCATTCGACGGCGTCGGGTAAACATATCCACCTCTAGTATAAACATAGCCATCCGTTTTTGGAGTTGTAGTAGTTGTGGATGGTGTAGTTCTAATTGTAGTAGTTGTGGATGGTGTAGTTCTGATTGTAGTAGTTGTGGGTGGTGTAGTTCTAAATCTAGTGGTTGTAGTAGGCGTCGTGGTTCTTACCTTCGGCGTTAAATAAGTATCTCCTGGTGTAGACACAACCCTGTCAGTAAAAAGTGTTAGTATACTTATAATTCAAGTGACAATCTTTTGGAATAATGATACATAAGAAGCTTAATAACTAGTAATAACATTTGATGAAAATATAGGTAAGCTGCATAAACAAAATATATTTTATTGAAACGGTGAATCATCTTTTGATAATAAATAGTCGATTGTATTATGATTATAAATGATTGAATGTTCCATCGCGTCGTCATTATAGATAATAGAATGATCGACTGGATTGTGACGATAATTGATCTGAACGCGATAATAGATGATTTTTATTAGACCACAGATAAAATTTTACAATTGAAGATAGAAGATGTGCGTAAAGTATTAGTGAAAAAGAGAAATAAAATATGATGCTGATGTGCATGTTATAATTAATAATATAATATTTGGAATTATAAAATATATGCATACCTTGTTACTTCATTCGACGGCGTCGGGTAAACATATCCACCTCTAGTATAAACATAGCCATCCGTTTTTGGAGTTGTAGTAGTTGTGGATGGTGTAGTTCTATTGTAGTAGTTGTGGATGGTGTAGTTCTGATTGTAGTAGTTGTGGGTGGTGTAGTTCTAGTGGTTGTAGTAGGCGTCGTGGTTCTTACCTTCGGCGTTAAATAAGTATCTCCTGGTGTAGACACAACCCTGTCAGTAAAAAGTGTTAGTATACTTATAATTCAAGTGACAATCTTTTGGAATAATGATACATAAGAAGCTTAATAACTAGTAATAACATTTGATGAAAATATAGGTAAGCTGCATAAACAAAATGTATTTTATTGAAACAGTGAATCATCTTTTGATAATAAATAGTCGATTGTATTATGATTATAAATAATTGAATGTTCCATCGCGTCGTCATTATAGATAATAGAATGATCGACTGGATTGTGACGATAGTTGATCTGAACGCGATAATAGATGATTTTTATTAGACCACAGATAAAATTTTACAATTGAAGGTAGAAGATGTGCGTAAAGTATTAGTGAAAAAGAGAAATAAGATATAATGCTGATTTGCATGTTATAATTAATAATATAATATTTGGAATTATAAAATATATGCATACGTTGTTATTCTATTTGACGGCGTTGGGTAAACATATCCTTCACCCTTAGTATAAACATAGCCATCTGGTTTTGGAGTTGTATAATAATATCCCTCCGGAGGTTCAATCGCTATGGAGTTTAAATCGTTTAGATCGTCTGCTCTCTTAATTTTTCTGTAATTATAATAGCTTACAAATATCCAATGCTTTAAAAAAAATAGTTATTATATAAATTGATCATGATTGCGAATAAATATACTTTTAAAAATCAATTGTATTAAATTAATAGTATTATACAGAATAATATTATACAGAAATATACTCTCAGAAGTTTTAAGATGTTTAAACACACTTACAAAGACTCAAAAAATGGTGCCTCTAAAAAGTCAATCTGTGTTCTTTTATTCTTTATCGCACTTATATCTCTCTTAGAATTTGCATCTGTATGATACGTGGAGAGCACGGCCACCAGAATGGCCACCCACAGCAACTTCCACTGTAACATAACTTTCATTATAATCGATCAAATAATTAGCTTATTGTGCTTCACACTATACATTTTTTATCACATTATTATATTATTTATTACATTAATTTTATTACATACATTATATTACATAATTTGTATTCATTATTCATCTTATTTATTCAATATTATAAAATTAAATAGATACTTTTAGTAAATATATATTTATTCTATAATAAAATTTTCTGGCTAATTATTATTTAATATAAGAACATACTAAAAAGACATTTTAATCTTTTTTTTTACTATTAATCGAGCCATTTACATATACAAATAATAGAATCGTAATAGATCGAAGATCTTTTCTTTGCAATAATCTAATGTCTCATTCATGATGATCTTACATAACTCATCTCGGCTACGAAATACTATATACAATATAATGATGACAAATCGTGAAAATGTGAGCATGAAATCTAATACATCGTTTTTTTTTATTGATTAACGTTCAACAATGAAAACTTTGAACAAGATAAGTATATAAATGTTTTTAAACAATTAGCTGTTTTAAAAAGCCTTTTATATAAGTAATCGTTTTCACAATTATAGTTAATAAAATACAATAATATAAATGCATTAATAAAATAATATAAAATGTTTTATACGTGCTAAACAATATTAATTAATTGCAAAAATAAAACATTATCGTAATTTTAATGTATTCATTTTTAGCCTTGAGGCAATATGAATTTCAATCGTATTATACATACACACATTTCATCGATGGAAAACAATTGCCTGATAATTTAACTAATTCTATTTCTCGGTACTAATAATCGGTCTATAATCGTAGAATTAAATATTTAAATTATATTTAATTGAGAAATTATACCGCAAAGGCGTCGTAAAAGTAGCTAACAATAAGTTAATAATTTATTGTTAAAATATTCATTAGTTTCAATCATTTTTTATATAGGTTTATATTTTTTACGTAGTTTGTATAAATCTAATTTGCATAAATCATTTATTAAACCGGTGAAACATGTATTTGTAATTTACTTTATCCGAGATTGAAGAAAAGATGCAGTTTTATTACGAGATTTTTGAGACTTTTAATGTTATGTGAGCTAAATAATTTGAACAAGTATTTAGAAGCAAAATTACGACTGATATTTATTTAGTAAAAATGTAACTTCATTACTTAATCAGAAGAGGATTAAATTAATTACATTTTTTATAATAATTATATTTATATATTTACATTCAGAGTTTTTCGTTATTTTATTATAAGATTGAAAGTTTACGATTAAACATTAATAGAATATTTAGAAAATTAAATATTAAAATGAATTTTAAAATGCAAAGAAACAATAATTCTTATTTTACCTTAAGAAAAAAATCGTAATTTATAGTTCAATTAATATAAACAAATTTTGTTTTAATTTATTAAGAAGAAATTATGCAAAACGTGTCTTGTTAAATAAAAATCAAGAATATCACTTTATCAGTATTTTACATATATTTTTTTAACAAACTTGTGCAATATATTTTCATATGATTGATATCCTTCTTTTTCACAATTATTGATAATTTTAAATTTTTATTACTTTTCCAAATATAGTATTACTTTTCTTTTTAGTTTTTGTCAATTGTAGCGATTATATTTCACACAATTACATAAGTATCTTTAAGAATTTGAACACATTGACATGAAAGATAGTCAAACGTTGAACGTATAAGTTTGTACAAGTTTCATCTCTTGATTTTCATACATAATAAGTGATTCTTTACAAGATCACTCTTATTATATTTCACTTTTCAAGCACTTTCTCCGACAGTTAAAGGAGTCCCAAATTCATCAACCATCCCCGATTATCCGTGTCTATTTTCTTTCAGGTCACTTTAAGTCCACAATTAATGATGCACTGTTATACTTACCATGATTTTCTTATCGTGATAATCACCGAAAAAAAAGATCAAAATGTGAACACTTTAAAATGAGAATACATCCCACATTCAGAAGCGTATCCCAAGAGGTCACTTCTTCGTCTTCTTCACAGACGATCAAGAATATTTATATATAGGATTCATTTAATTAGTTAGTGGGGAGAATATTCGAAGCATTCGACCGATGACGATTATTATCAAGGATAACCACAAGAAGATGCTATAATTCTTCTCCTTCCACATTTACATAAATTAAGATTGCGAGAAAATGAAATATACAGAAAGAGAGAGTGAGCATTCCAAGAGAAAGATACCCGCGATATTCAAATATTCGATCGAAGGAATCAAAGATGGATGTTGAATGGTGATAGTCGAAGGACACCGTATTTGGTCCCTGATCGTGGAGCGCCGTTGACAAATATTCGAAAATAATGATTTTATGAAATTCAAGGATTTTGCACGCGATTGGAAAAAGAGAACTGTGATATTTGTCGCTGGATGAATTCCTCATATTAAAAAAAGGGTTTGGTGGCGACTTAAACAATCTTGAAACATTTTGTTGAAATAAACTTTACAGTAATGTTATTCTGATAGAATATTTTGTAATTGAACTAAAAAAAAACAAATCTATTAATACAAAACTTATTAAATATTACTGTGTCAATTATAATGATCGTTAGACATATTCGTTTTAGCACACCTAACGATCATTATATTGGCATAATATTTAATAAGTTTGACATTTTAACATACATCAATTAAGATAAATTAAATATAAGACGTCAACATATCTGCAGGATATGTTGACTTGTAATAAAGCTGTTAATGCGGCTAAAGTGGCACAAATGAGTGTCGAAACGTCCCGCCGTTAATCATTACTGCACCGCTTTTCTTTTTGTAATCTATACAATAACAATACATTTTTCTTTCTATATAAATTGACCCTGTTTTACCATTTTATACCGCCGTTCGTTCAATTCTATGTATTCATATTGAAATGAACAGTTTAATACGTTGCTCGTTTAGGCCTTTATTTTATATATTTATATATTTATTATTTATAACACAAGCTTAAATTACTAAAATATTATTTTCAAAATAATATTAAAAATTTACACTAACGCAATATAATAATATTATATATAATTGTATAGTAATATTATATGTAATTTATTTTCTCGACTAACTTTATTGTGATAATAACGTTAGGTCTTCTTTATAAAATCTTTATAAAATCAAATTCAGCTTGATCAAGCGTCATTTAATAACACGCGTGCGTGATCTATTACATTTTACATCTGCATCTTATTTACATTTTACATGAAACGACAAAAATACTGAAACTTGCATCGCATTGCAATCCAAAAAGGATTGACATATACATACTAAAATGTTAACGACATCAGGCTTTATTTTATATTCCTGCTTCATCATAAAATATTAAGCAACGAATAGATTTAGGCGAGTCTATAATTATTATACGATAACTGATATAAGGATAAACTTCTCGATTGCGTTGTATCTCTATCAAGTTTTATAAGATTTTTGTGAAACTAAAAGTATGTGTAATATATATTAAGCAACTTCAATTATAAAGCAAACTATTACAATAGTATTTTTATCGTATTTAGAAAAGATGGCAAACAGTATACATATATTTTAGTATAGAGTAATAAAACTTTGTTTTCTACATACATATATGTATATTCGCAATTGAGAGAACATAATCTAACATAATACTTGTATCGTCTAAAAATTTTATTGGATATGTTATATAATACATCGCCAAGGTTTATTGCAGTCTATTTACATCTTCATATTAAAGTTAACTTTGGTAACCTCGGTTTTTGAATTAGAATAATATTTATAGATTTTATTTGTTAATTTTATGGCGAGTCCATAAACATAGATTTTATTAGTTTCTAAGATATATGCATATATATTCCAGTTTTGTTAAGCTATTAACTGTAAATGTCATTTTTATGGAAAATTATTCTCGTGAAAAAATGTGCAATGTTTGAAAAAGCCGAATAAAAAAATATGCTATATATAACATAATGTGTGTGTACGCGTGCGCGCGCACACACACACACACACACATACAAAACATACCTATAAATATCTTAAAATACTTTAATTACTTAAGATAAATGGCAGTGTATGCACTTAAGAATATCCGTGAATTTGCACATTGTTCGAAATTCTACCCTCACATTCTTGTAATTATTGGAATTCGGAAATTCCGAAGGACACAGTCAATTCATTACCAATGCATCTTTGTAGACACGATCAAAGATATGAGAGAAGGCCTTCAACTATTTATAGCCATGTTATGAATTAATTCAACAAGATGACGACAAATATTCGTTTTCTACCCTTTTAAAGTATCTCCAAAATTTTATTTTCTTGATTCTTGTTAATATTATATAGACTTTGCAATTATACATAATAATTCAAAAGATTGTCTATTAAAATCTTCTCAAGAATAGAAAAATAATAAATAAAAAAAAATTGGCGTAATAATAATTATTGTTAACTTAATTTTATAAATGCATTTTTAAAAAGTGTATAAATATATATAAATTTTTCTTTAAATAAATTCACTTACAATTAGTTGAATAAGCACAAATAAATTCTTCTGAAAACTTTTTATAAAGCATTAAAATATTTGAAAAATAAAGGCAAAATATATTACACAAATATTTCTTTATATAAGATATGCTTTCAAACTGTTTCTGAAATAATAAACATTGTAAAATATGTAAAAATTTATTGTAGTTTTTATTCACAGATAAGGATTTCGACAAACTTTCTTTTTACTTTGATTTATTAAAAATATTTTATATTTTTTGGCAAAGATCGTAATTGTATTTTCTTTTCGTGAAGCATCAGAATCAATTAATATATTCTTTGTCAAACGCAAAATGTCTACATAATTTCTTTTCTTATTAATTATGTTTGACATTAATCTATTTATCTAAATTTCTCAAGCAATAATCCACAGTTTAAATAAAAACAATTAATTTTTGCCAAATTTATTGCAGTTTTTCTATGTTGTTAAATATTCTTAATAGAAATTTGTAGTTGCAAATTAGAAGAGATTAAATTTTGTAGATAATGTTGTGCAAGAGAGAAAAAACAGATAGCCGATTATGCACTCAAGGAACAACTTTATAGAGATATTCACTATGCAAATGTCATGAGAAAGTCGGAGTTGGTTATGATACCTACGTTATCTGTTAACAATCATGATACTTATCGAACGTGTATCAAAAATTATATTTATCTGCAAATTTTTGTAAATTATCCGTTAAGATTTATCTAGTATTCAATAAATTAGATAATCTATAATTTAAAAAATTGCTTTTTTAAATCTTCTTTACTTTATACTATAATTTACTTTTGTAATAGATGCAATTTAAATCAAAAAGACTTATTAAAAGTTATTTAATTTAAAAAATGTATCACTCACTAGCACTGATAACAGTGAAGTTTTGAAATCGGAACTACGTTGTAACATACAAATATAAAATCCAAATTAGAGTAATTCCAAAAATAATTAATATTTCAAGAAATTATTATTATATACACGCCAAATCTTGCATTTGATGAATAAAATAAACAAGCACATATATAAATATGGAACAATTTTATAAAATTTTAACAATAAATTTTTTATATAGAAATAGATAGAGAAAGACTTTTTTATAAGATTTATATAAAAGTCTTTTTCTCTGAATCTCTCGTATTTAAATCATTCAAAAAATGAATTGAATTAATAAGTGTATATATGTACATACGTCATTTATACATAATAATAACTAGACAACGACACAAGTGCGCGCTTCGCGCGCTCCTGTGACATTTCTGTTTCTTTCGTGCATATCATTATTGTTGTCAAATTATTAATCTTCGCAATGACAGTTGCTTGATGTTATGACCATAATTTTAATTCGCCGAATTTCTATTATATACATAATTTTAATTCGCTGAATTGCTATTATGTACATAATTTTAATTCCCGAATTTCTATTATGTATAATATAGAATTTTAATTTATTAAATTTTTACAATTTTCTACAAGAATCTTTCGATCAAAATATCTGTGCTTGTATTAGATTCGCGCGTTTGTACGCGTCCGCTACATTGCACGGCTCGCGCAAAACTGATCACGTGATCAGATTAATACATCCCACATATCCATCACGGTGCGCGGTTCGCGCGACACTGGTTCTCGTGCAGGCTATCGTGAGCGCGGGACCGATGGTCACATGACCAGTGGTCACATGACCAGTAGTCACATGATCAGTGGTCACGTGACCTCGGTTTCGCGCTCGCGATATCTCGAACGAGAATCAGTCTCGCGCGAGCCGCGCAGCGTGACAGATGTATGGGGTATAGTTTCGCACGAGTCTAATGAAAGTGTAGATATTTGATCACAAAAGATCACAAAAGATTCTTGTAGAAAATGTTATTTCTTTTTTCGTATTTTTTGTTAAAAATTTAAATATTGAATATTGAATTTTTATGCATTGCATAATTAATTGATATATTTTTATGCATTGATTGCAATAATAATTTTTGCATGCATGCGTCGTAATTTTTGAGATTTTATTATCAAAAAACAATATAACTTTGCTTTGCGTGCGTAATTATATTCGGTTAG